AACCAGGCAACACAGGTGTCGTGGTCTTTGTCGACCATTTGAGCAAGATTGCTCATCTTGCGGCGGTGCCGGACACCATCGACGGTGTCGGTACAGCGACGCTGTTTGTGGATCGTGTCTTTTGGCGGCATGGACTCCCCGTGTCAATTGTCTCTGACAAAGACCCAGGCTTCAGTGGGAAGTTCTGGTCGACGAGCTTCAAGATGCTGAGCATCAAGTTAATTTGTCAACAGCAGACTATCCGCAGACCGATGGTCAGACTGAACGCGTGAACTTCGTCGTTGAAGGCAGTCTTCGCAGTGTCTGCGCTGAGATTTCGAGGCGCCTAAGCGCCACAATGAGTGCTTACGACACGATCACGATGCGATGACTGAAAGCTAAACTATACAGAAAGATATGCAGATGGAAGAAGCAGAAGAGATGTCGAAAACGTCGAGGTCGGAATCCCGGTTTTATCAAATGCAAAAACTTCTTTAAACATGCAGTTTTTGCAATCTTAAAGACGAAGCTCCGTCCACGGCTTATTTTAATCGTGACCAAGCGGGGCCTTGCGTATACGCTAGTTCTGCCGGAAATGATGAGCACTTACCCGGCATTTTATGTGGCAATGGCTTGAAGCCGCTTTGGCAGAGCGCGATCGTGATCAACGTGAGGCAGTCGCTGCGCAAAGTGCTCCAAGCTCTCGAATGCTTCCGCACAGCGGTGGGAGACCCCAGCATGATGCTCCGTGGAGGCCCGATGGCGGCAAACCTTGTTTTTAAGAGTCCGAAGTCACCGCACGCCGTCCGACAAAGTCTTCATCGTCCGCCGCCGACTCGTCACGACGAGAACGGTTGTGTCCTCTATCACGTAGGACATCTTGTGGGTCGACGTCGTCGATAGGGTCTAAATCGGTATTTGCGAAGCGGCGGGGATATTCAGACTCCGGAAACTCGTGAGAGTTTAAGGTGCCACTGTCCAGACGTCGTGGGCACTTATGATCAGAGGGATCATGATGTCCCGCATCGTCGTTTGCCCCGCGTTTCCCGGCAGTAGCCAGGAATGCTAAAGAGCCATAAGCTGAGCTCAAGCTATGACCCTGAGCTGCCGAATTTGACAAATTATTGATCATAGCGTGTACACCAACATACAGCTCACAGGTGTTAAGTGATTTCGACTTAATCGCAACTATGTTTATATATCATCAAATAGATAAATGCACATTCACGATAAAGCTTACACATCTACGCCATCTGAAAATTGCTGCCACGCCAGACAATACTTTGGGGATTATCAGTCGTTGTTAACGCATCCTGCTCGGAGGACTCATTTTGGCGACGGATATCACTTACCATCGGTAATCTAAAAGTCTGTACAGGGTACACAATGTTATGCTTAATCCTTTTACGGAATTGGTATTGATACCGGGTGTTGTGCCTTATGTAGCTTATTTAAATTGTACCTAATTCGCCACTTGTTGTCAGCGTTTCTGACACAGAAATTCTGTGCAGGGTAAGATGGTTCACGTCTTTAAAAATACCCTCTTCGTGGTATGCGAGAGAACATGTGTCGTGGCAAAGGCTACTGGCCTATGACGCAAAACTTTGTCTCGAGAACCTTATGACGTTCATTCCTATCCGGAGCAACGCGAATGGTGGGGATTTCGTCATCATGTCATGATGCTTCTTCTCCAAAGAAGAAAAAAGGATCCGTAGGATATTTCTGGATAGCTTTTTTCCTCTCGCATTTATTGATCTGCGATTGTCTTTAGTAAAGCAGAAAATAAATGGCATCACCTCGTCATCCAGTAGCAAATGTACCATGTCGGTTGACACCACTGTGTATTTCTTTGCAAACAATCGTTGAAAATGATCTTGAAGCTTCTCACGAGTTTCTGCGCATCATAGATATGGAAGACTTACCAAATTCGGCTTCCACCCACAGCCAACTGGAGCAGACGTGTGAGGCTTCGACGATCTGTACACTGGCACGCTACTCAAGTAAGTGATATTGATGAGTCATCTTAAGTAACATCAGGGCCGGCTCTACCAACAGTGATTGTCTTTACGGGCTTGCTCGGAACGAGAATGAACAGATGTTGGAGCCCGCCACATCAGGTCTCTTTCGCTCACGTCAGCTTTGGAGATCAAAATATACGGTCGTTACTACTTTTATAAATAATTTCGTGGAGATTGTGGCTTACAGTCCGCCATACGAGAATCGCTCAAACCTATTTAAACATCACTGCTGAAGATCTCAAAATCTCTCTTGTTCGATTTTAAAGGTATGAAGCTTAAATATATCGCACCAAAAGCGCGTTTCTTCCCGAGCAGAGTACATAACCTACCAACGATCCACAAAGAGAGTAGTGTGTGGCATTCAATGTTGTCGACTTTCAGTTGCTCCGAGGCTCGCCAAAAAAATAAATTTGGAAAAGCAGGTCGTTCTCGTTGGTTGAATAGAAGACCATCTGTACGTGGAGTAGCAAAAAACCCTGTTG